GTCAAGAAAACAAGTCGATCATCAGTTGCAGTTGAAGATATTCCAAAGATGGGTAAAAATCTAGAGAGGCCAATGGGCCAGACCTAAAGCAACTTTCGCTACAGGATCTCTGCAGACCCATCAGGGATTGTGATTGAACGTCAACTTTGATGGCTTTCATTTAAATAAGCAGTAACGAGTTGTGACCAGTACATATTATATACGCTCCAAATTTTATACATTTTGTAGTGTACTAATACTATATATGCTCAAATTTATTTTGAATTGATATAAAAATTTCAATTAATAAACAAATTTACAAAAATTTAATTTGAGTTAACTTTCTCCAGAAAAAAAATTAAAACTACCACACAGGCTTTGCCGACCTCTCAGTGAAAATCCTAAGGGATACACAGCTCCTAAAGCTGCCATATACAAGCCCTCCAAGAAGGCAAAATTCAAATCAAGCTCTAAAGATTTCATACAAACTCAAGCTTTTAAAACTTATATACAAGTTCTTAAAACTTCCATACAGGCGCTCAAAGGAGAACATACACACACAAACTTCAGTGCCCAAGCTTAGCATTCAAAGACAGTGACAAAGAGACACCAGACTACTATACTCGATAGTGCTCCCATAATACAATTGCCTAGTGAAAAAGAATATTAAGTCGAAAATCTCCCACGAACAAGAAACACAAAATAGTAAACTAAAGCATATCATAGTGTCAGGGCGTCTTTAGATACAAAAGAGAGCGTGGACAATTATCCCAAATCCAAACTATCTCGTCATCATTGAAAGAAGAGTAACAGCATCGACGTCATCTACCCCAAGCGTCCGTTGAGGTGGGCGTGAAGGGGAAGACGCCCCAGCAACCTGGAGATTCCCTTGCAGGCAAGCAGACGACTAACCTCTTAGCATCGCAGACAAAAATGAAGCCCCCATGAACCATTACTCAACCCGATTCCAATCCCCTTAACATGCTGAGATAATAAAGAGGAGCAGACCAATCATCTTCCAAAGCGAAACATATGTCTGGCATTTATTAGGTTTATTTTAAATACTTATTAATACAAAGAATTTACTGAAAAATTATTAATGTATTTTCTGCATAAGATAATTATATGATGTAGATAAGTATAAATAGGTTTTTTTATTAGTTATTAGTACCAGTATATGTTATTTTAAAAATTTCAATTTTAATCTCGCTGAGGACATTAGATGGTTCCGGCAGTCACATTTTGAGGTTGACAATAATTTATAGACAAAGACAGTCTTTTTTTCTCTAGTAGTATAGAAATTGTATTTTTTATTCTACCTTCCTATAGGAAATATAAAGCAATTTCATTAAAATACTTCCTCACATTTTTACAATTTTCAAATACTACTTTACTTAAAGTATTATGTTTTTTGTATTTTTATAAGATAGCCTTTGTATCTGGTCTTTGCAAGTTACGTTCATGCCTTAGCTAAGAATCTTTGACCTGCCCTTGTTATTCTCGGGCTAGACTCTATGGCCATCCTCTAAGACATTCCGTAACTACTCATATCCAATACTTCCAAACGTTTAGCCATTTTCACTATCGACATCTTTAGTGGAACACTGCAAAAGCTACGCCGCGATTGCTTTGTAAAGTGTAAAATTTTTGTCAAATGTAGGTGAGATATAGCCTACAAAGTGTGCAATATCTTAACTATCAGTACCTAGCCTGGCACGAAGCATCGTTTTGTACCTGCTGCCAGAGAGCGACCTACACTACTATGTACTACTATGTAGCTACTATAAAAGCATAACTAGCGCTGCATTAACAATATTTCGTGGAAAGCAGCTCTTCTGCCGACTACAGCACCGTCCACCATTGGATTGTACCCTGAATTGAAGTAAATGGCATACTGATGAGAACTAATAAGTTCGAAACTGGTGTATATCTGGTGATTCTACTTACAAATAATCTTAGCTATTTAATGTTGCGGGTATAATTCAATGCTGGACGGGTCTGTAACTCGCAGAGTAGTTGTTTCCCATAATATAATTAGTTAAAACAATGTTATGAAATCAAATCGCAATTATATGTACACCTGACACAAAAAGCGACCGTGAACTCTAACAGGTTTGTGCAAAAGCAACTTACCAGAAATAAAATGAATCGCAGGAGAACAGCTAAAGAAAAGAGCTTGATTCATGTTTTATAAAGTACCAGGAGTAAGCTTTCTTTCACATACATCGAGATCCTAATATAAAATTATGTTCCTAGATTCTCAAATTAAAATAAAACAGAATGAAGCAAAATTTTTCTCAATGGGCAAAATTAGATTTTAATTTTCCTGCCACCAATGTCAAATTTTATTTCGACACCTCCTCGCTTTTCTGCACTCCTGGTGGAACATATAAATGTCAACTATAAGAGCTTTGTGCAAAATTAACTGCCAGTAATAAAATTAAAAGCATTCATGTTTTAGAAATTACCAAGAGTAAAATTTCTCAGATATAAATTAGCTCCTAATACATATTATTATTTATTAAAATTATTCTCAAAATCAATCCCAAAGAGCAAATTTTGATTTAAATTTTTCTGCAAAGAGTGCAAAATTTATTTCAATACCTCCTCGCTATTCTGCATTTCTGGTAGAAAATATTGACTGTCAGTTATAACAGATTTGTATAAAAACAATTGCCAGTAATACAATTAAAAAAAAACGAACAGTTATAGAAAAGAAAAAAACGTGTTGTAGAAACTACCAGGAGCAACATTTCTCAGATATACATCGAGTTCCTAGTATAAAATTATGCTCATTGTTTCCCGAAATAAAGTAAAGCAGATTGAAGCAAAATTAATCTAAAAAAGCAAATTTAGATTTAAATTTTCCTGCTAAGAGTGTAAAATTTCTTTCAATACTTCCTTGTTTTTCTGCACTCCTGATGGAAAATATGGCTGCCAATTATAATAGATTCGTTCAATAGTCCAGGCAAGTTAGACCAAAATCACCCTATATACGGAAATTTTTTTCTGATGAACCGATCGTGTTGCGGTTTTCGGCATTGTCTTCGGAAAAATATCAGGAAAAAAGTCTATATATTACACTTTGGGGCTGGATCGAAACTGCATTGCGGGTGCATAAAGTGCATCAATTTTTCCGAATTTTCTAAAAATGGTAAAAATTGACTAAAAGTTGTAGAAATTTGTGTGCACAGGTTTTCGGGTTCGGAGATTCCGAATCTGACCCTGAAAAATATGCTCAACGGCCCTGGGCCCCCCAGGAGGGCAAGCGGGGGACCTTCTGTAAAACATCGAATAGCTGAATAATTGCCTTCTAAATCCCCACTCGGGGGATTTTGGGGTCGGGGATTTCGATTCTGACATTGAAACGTATGTCCGACGCCCCTGGGCCCCCCAGGGGGGCAAGGGGGGCCTTCAGTAAAACATCGAATAGCTGAGTAATTGCCTTCTAAATTTCTACTCGGGGGTTTTCGGGGTCGGGGATTCCGAATCTGACACTGGAAAATATCCATTAATGTTAGCTTGTCTATCACTGAGAAAAATTGTCGTAGAATTGGAGAAATCCTGGACAATCCGTTCCCAAGAGACACATTTCGTTAAATCAAAGAAATATTCCTTAAAACCGAAGAATATTTCATGGATCATGGATTTTCAAAATGATTTCTTGAGCCCGTGCGACTGCATGTACAAATTGTCTTGGAACCAACTGTTCCAATCCAGAAATAGTCGAAAATGTAATAGATGATAGTGATGGAGACAGTGATGGCAGTACTGATGATGAAAATTGTGATTGATAGTGAAAGTGTTACATAAACATATGATAGTAGTTGTCTCACTAATTGCCTTGCAAATAAAAAGAAAATTGGATCAAAGAATAAAGGGGATTCTTTTCGACTCATTAATTTCCTGTTAGTTTTTCTTACCCTTCTTGTCTAATCTCTGTAAATTTACGTGTGTTACAATGTAAAGATAAGCCTACAAGATCATGGTTGGAAAGCGGGTGGAGCAGTTTTATTGCAAAAATCTGATGTGGCTTTCGATGTTTTCCAGAAAGCCCACTCCACGGGCGTCGGGCATACTTTTCAGTGTCAGAATCGAAATCTCCAACCCCAAAAACCCCCGAGTGGAAATTTAGAAGGCAATTACTCAGCTATTCGATGTTTTACAGAAGCCTCCCCCGTTGCCCCCCTGGGGGGCCCCAGGACCGTCGGGCATATTTTTCAGGGTCAGATTCTGAATCTCCGACCCCGAAAACCAAATTTCTACAACTTTTACTCAATTTTTACCATTTTTAGAAAATTCGGAAAAATAGATGCACTCCAAGATGCACTTTCCGAAGACAATGCCGAAAAGCGCAACTCGATCAGTTCATCAGAAAAAAAATTCTGATTTATTGTCTAACTTGACTTTATTGTCTAAATAAGAACAGAACAGCTAAAGAAAAAAAACTTGATTCATGTTTTAGAATATACCAGGAGTAAAATTTATCTCAGACATAGCAACCTCCTAATAGCAAATTATACTTACAGAATTCTAAATTAAAATAAAGCACAATGAACCGAGATTCATCTCCTGAAATCCATACTTTCTTCCAAATTACGTCGTTGTTACTCTCCTGATAAAAAATTTTGAATTTTAGACGTTTCAAGATAAATAAGATATATGTATTTTAGATAGTAAGGATAAAACAAAAAATAACATTTGTCGATGAAAATCTTTATTTATATAAAATATCAGTGGATAACAGATATTAAAACAGCAAAATAATGATAAAATCATATACAAATTAACTCGAAATATATAAACACGCTTCTCCAATTATTTTTCAATAAAATTTTTACAAAAAAAAATAGAGTAAAAATAAACTATGAAATATGAAGGCACATATAAAAAAATAAATAATTTTAATTAAAATAAGTATTAGTGTAATTAAAAAAAAAATAAAAAAAAACATTTTTATGTCATGGTGTATAGAAATATATTTATACCTCGATAAAATCTGATTTTATAAAATGACTAAAATATAAATTCCTTTCTTATTACTTAAAGCAATATTAATAAAAATATTATATAAATATGAATGAGCAATATATAGTACCCCAGAACAGGTAAAAATATTACCATCTATTTATTGTGTATCTGGCAGCACATTTTTTTAAATATATTGTTTCATTTTAATTGTAATATATCTTGCATATACTACAGCAAAATAGGTGGCAGTATACGAAAGGACTGTTATAGAAGCAATTTTGAATACCTCTTTAAAATATCTTTACTAAATCCTTTTTCTCCATGATTAATACGGGTGAACGCTGGCAATGCCAACCCTCCCATTGTTACTAACGGAACTGTTCGTCCTGTGCAGCATCTCCGAGAAATGTTTCTTCCCGTTCTTCTCCATCCTCAATTTGGGTTCGGCGTAGCTATGCCTGTATCCCGCCGAATTTTTCACCAACTTCTGGTTCTTCACGAACTTCTGGTCGTATTTCATCTCTCCTACTTTATCCAGATCGATGCTAGATTTGGAAAAGTTGTCCAGGAATCTGTCGGACTCGGGCAGCTCTTGGAAGTGCCGATCCCTCATGTCCCTATCCCTATCGTATCTGTCCACGTCGTCGTCGAAGTGGTTCCCCTCCAGGTACGACCGTCTCTTCAGCTCCTTGGCGATCTCGTTCGAGTTTTTCCTGTGCTCTTCTTCTATTAAGGAGAACATGGACCTTCTCTTGGGGTCGAACTTGTCTGTGTGGCGGTATCTGTCCACGTCGCGTTCGTGAGAACGCTGGTCCCTTTCTCTGTACCTGATCTCTTCAGGGATGTGTCTCGGAGCTGGCGTGGGTCTTGGTTCCTCAATCCTTCGATGCTCCTCATAATACCTACAACAAAATCAACCATTGTATTTTTATATTAACGCATACTAAATTGAAACAAAAGTCGTCTCAAAGAATTAAATTTAATAGGAATATATTCCGTTTGGCAAGGATGTAAAACTTCTTCAAATACAACTTTACTTTTCTGTATTACTGATACAAAATATGATTGTGAAGTGTTACAGATTTGTGCACAAGTATTTAATAGAAATAAAATCAAAAATAGAATGTTGTTGCTGTCAAAGAATAAGAATAGAAACACAGAAAAAAATTAAGTCATATTTTAGAAAGAATCAGTAACAAATTTTCTTCCAAATTAAAATTAAACAAAGCAAAGTCAAATGATCCACATCTCAGTGAGCAAAATTTTGTATGACTTCCTTTCATTTGTCTAGCGTGAAAATTGTGAAAAAATGATTACCAGAAACAAAATCAAAAGTAGGAGATTGTATTCCTGTCAAAAAACAAGAGACAACCTAAGAACGCCTAGAAAAAAAAATAGATTCATTTTTAGAAAACACCAGCGAAATTTCATTCAATGAGCTATTAAGGAGGTATATTGGGGTCCGAGGGAAGTGAGGAGCGCAGGGAGGTCATATGCTTTTCTTATGGGACTAAAGCCCGCTGCCAATTTGAAAAAAAATAAATTCTATTGAAATTATTTTAAACATTATCTATATAGCAAAGAAATCTACTCATATGCACATAGCATACATATTGACTAATTAACAACATAAAAACATATTTAAGTAGTTTTAAATTATATTTAATAAACGCATAAAGACTATGTAGATGTGGCAACAGCGCTAATAACTGACTAGCAGTTGTAACACTGCGAACCTACAGACCTCGGACATCGGAGATATTGTGCGTCAAATTCGGGTAAAGTTGTGTACGCGTTCAAAAATGTATTGTGTAAACTATGTAGAATATAATTATTATATATAGCAAATACATATATCGTATTATCCTCGCGAAGATTTGTATCCTTTATTTAAAATCCGTAAATCATGTGAACTGGTAAAACAACGAGAATTATGTTAATTTAGTTCTAAAGAAATGAAATGACATTCGCGCCCATCTCTCGTCTAAGTTAAAGAAAATGTTGGATGCAATTTTGAAGGTTTTGTGATAGAAATTACATTACTACTCACTGTTCGTGTTTTTAATATCTATTTTAGTAAAGTTACAAAATTTTTGCAACTATAACTAATTTTTTAGATATAAAGTTTGCTGAGATATATTTATGTTCCTTTGTTATTCCGTACAAATGCTTTTATCTCAAGTATTACTAATTATATTAATCAAGTAAAGAAAACTTTATGTAACCCTAAATATTGCTGGCTGGGTAATGATTACGATGTTTTTATAAACCATTAAATATATTAAAAGGATTTATCAACTGTAATTTTTAATTCCAATAAATATATCACAGCTTCATAGTCTTTTTTAATTAATCTAGTTTTTTAATTTTTTTTTTCATAAATCAATTTCGTTTTTATAATGTGTTTCAAATGTATTCCCTCCTTGCTGTCAGCTGATTGCGACGTTGCCACATTAATCCTCAGACAGAAACGCAATTATTGGTGTCTGTTTCTAATTAATATAGCTGTAATATGTTCAAAACTTAATTAGTTTTACATCAAAAATAAGATAATACTCTGTACTATCTATGGAAAAGTTTAGTTTCACAATTTCTACATTTTTTTCTCAGTTATGGGCAAAAAAGAGCCGCGCCGTCCATCTTCGCATCTTCGCCATATAAACCTATGTTAAAATGAACAACTTTCAACAACAATATCTCGAAATCTAGATTAAAAAAATATGACGCACAGAGGGAGCACTGGGTAATACGTTATATAAATTTCAAGTACATCTGTGCATTTGAGTAAACCCGATATACCTCCTTAATACAGAATAATATTAATAAATCATAGATTAAAAAAAGTTAAAATAATGATACAAATGCATTGTAAAGATCAAAATTGTATATAACTGGTTTTCTTTTGTTAAAAGCATAGAATTTCTTCTAAATACTATCTTACTTTATGCACTTCTAGTACAAAATATAACTATGAACACCAGATTGGTGCAAAAGCAATTACCAGAAACAAAATTAAAAATAAAGAAGATTTAATATGTATTTTAGAAAGGACAAAAAGTATTTTTTTCAAATAGGTAGATTAAGCTCCGGATACATATTCGCAAATCCTTAGATTAAAACAGGACTGCGTAGAGTGAAACGACGCACATTTACCTTAAACAACACTTTATAGGATTAATTTTCCTTTGTCGAGTGTAGATTTTTTTACCATTTAAACTTTCAATACTCCTGATAGAAAATATGACTGTAAACTATTAAGGATTGTGTTTTTGTGAAAAAAAGGCAATCTAAATAAAAAAACTGATCCATGTTTTAAAAACAGCAAAATCTCTTCCTCCAGATACATAGAGCTCATAATACATAAATATATTCTAAAATCCCTAAATTAAAATAAAAATCATAGAGCAAAATTTAATTAACGCCTAGATTTCCATTGACAAGAGTGCACAATTTCATATACTCTTAGCTCCAAATACATTATATTTATAGGTTCTTAGATTAAAATAGAACAAAGCAAAGCAAAATAATGATTCATCACAAAGACCAAAATCTTATGTGATTAATTCCCCTTTGCTAAGGGTGTATCATTTTTTACATACCATTTAGATTTTCTGCACTCCTGATACAAAATATATGTAACTAATTTGTGTAAAAGCAATTATCAGAAGTAAAATTAAAAAGGGGAAACAAAAACTTCCTATCATGTTTTAGAAAGTACCAGAAGTAAAATTTATTTGTTCAATTCTAATTCCCTGTTAAAATTTCTTTCAAATATCACCTTGCTTTTCTGTACTCCTGATACAAAATGTGGCTGTAAACTGTAACAGGTTATGCAAAGCAACAGAAGGGAGTATATTAATGTTAAAATATTGTATTTGTAGAAAAGCAAGGGAGCACCTAAAGGAAAAAGTGAAATAAAAGAAAGTAAAGCAAAATGATGGAAATTCATCTTCATAGTAAAATTGTACACGACTATCTTTCCTTTGATTAAGTACCACCTCGTTTTTGTGCCTTTCTGATATGAAACATAACTGGAAATTGTAATAGGTTTATACAGGGTGTTAATGAACTTATGTCGAAAATTTAAAGGGTGAAAAAGGAGCAAAAATTGAGTTAACTGATATCACAAGCTTGTGTCGGAAATTTAAGGTCGTGGAGAAAAAAGCTAATTAAAAATGTTTTTAAAACTGTTTTGGAACTGCTGAAGCTGAAATACCTGTACTTTAATCGCGGCGAGTACTTACAAAAAATTCTGTCACACTTTTTACGAGTTTGCAGGTTTCTTATGAAACCGGACTGTATTCGAAAGTCAGTTTGTAATACATTGTTGTAGTGATTGCTGTAATGTTTTTCGAGAGTACATTTAATAGCCGTATTTTTCTTTTGAAAATGGCGATTTAGCAATCGCGAATATTATGATATGCTTATAATTTATGGCGAAGCAAACGAAAATACCCACAGAGCTTGTAAAGTGTACTGTGCAAGAATCCTGAACGACGTGCCCCCGCACCGCGAACATTTGTTGCTGTAACGCAAAGAGTTTTGAACACCGGTGCACCGCGTCGAGGTCCCGACGGTGGCCCAGGGTGACCACTAAGAATCTTAATTGTCGAGGAGATGATTTTAGATCTCGTCGAAGAAGATCTGCATCGTAGCACCAGAAATATCGCACAAAAAGTAAATATTTCGCATCCTGTTGTGTGGCGGACATTACGAGAAGCTCAGTTGTACCCATTTCATATTCAACGTGTTCAATCGCTTACTCCTGAGGATTTTCCACTACATCGAGATTTTTGCGAATGGTTGCTTCAGGAACATGCAAGAAATCCTCAATTTACAGCGCAAATACTTGTTACAGATGAAGCATGTTTGAGTCGAAATGGTGTACGTAAGTCCACAACACTCACCACTAGAAAATCCACACGAAATACAGTGGGTGGCCAAATTATTAGGAACAGTATTCAGTTTTTTCTCTTTTCTAGTTTGATTGAATTTTTTGAACAAACAGTTGGTTCTATGGTGTGCAGCTATATTTTATTCAAAAGAGTATATTATTAAGATCATAAAAACAACGAGTTACGTGGGAGAAACTATTTATTTTTTTCGTAAAAGCTATATGTGCATTAATGGAAATCTGCTAAAATTAATCTTAGTATTTAGTGATGCACCCTTTGCCGCAATTAGAGCTTTTACGTCTCTAGGCATGCTCTATATACAGACTTCTGTTGGAGTTCGAGAGTTCGACTTATGATGCCATTCTCTGATGAGAGTTTCAACCAATTGATGCTTGGTGGTGATCAGCTCATTAGCAATCGCCCATTTGGCGAGTCCCCACATGCTCTCTATAGGGTTCATGCCCGGTCAGGGTAAAATGGTAATGTTTTTTCGGCCACGAATACACTAACACTCCTGGCTTTGCGGCACGGTGCCAAATCGTGCATAAAAATGGACTTTGCATCACCAGGAATCCATTCTTCGATCTGTGACAGTAGCCGGATTTTTTGTACTCGTTTTTACGGATCCTGCCTCATGATCCCCTCCACAATGTATAGGCGTATTATGCCCTTTACTGGAATCACACACCATACCACGACACCAACCGAGTATTTAACCCTCACCACAAGGCAGTCTGGATGGAACTGCTATCTCCAAGACGTCGTCGAAGAAATGAAGTTTTGTCGACCAAAATTTGAAACGCTAATTCGTCGGAAAATATTGAGATTATCACAAAAAAATCTTTATTCTTATCTTATCAGTATTTTAATTAGTTGTTCTCATTCGAATACAGTCATATTCTGGAGTTATTGGGCCCATTGCAGCCGCATCTTCTTCATGACCTCCATCAAAGGTAGTTTTTTGGTCGACAACGACAGATCGGGTTTTCTTCTGCCAATCACCTTCGGACTGTCATTTGGGAAATTACAATTCCTTCATTGTTTATTATAGTAATTCTATACGAAATATCAATAACGTTTTGATAATTTGTGATAGGAAAACTCACGAAAAACGATTCAGAAATATTTTTTAGCATCTTACTGTAACAAAAGTTTTTAACAAATTACCACTATACGAAGAGTTACCCCACTTATCTGATAAATGATGCAGGATATCAGGTTGCCACTCAACAAAAATATTAATAACAGTACTAGTTGCAATATAAAAGAAAAAAGCCTTGTGAAGATCTGTTTGTTTTTTCAAAACAAAAATTTGAACTAGAAACTTCATAAATATGAGTACTGTCCCGAATAATTTGGCCACCCACTGTACGTCACGGTGCCTTTCAGCAACAGTTTTCAGTGATCCTGTGGGCCGATATCGTTAATAAGACCTTTTGAATTGTCTAGACGCTTAGACGGTGCTTCATATTTAGATTTTTTACAAAATCGCTTGCCGGAGTTATTGGAAGACGTGCCTTTAAATGTTCGGCAAGATATGTCGTTACTGCATAACGAAGCCCCCGCTTACGTTTTTCCGAAAGTGCGCGACTTTCTAAACCTAAACATTACTTTTCCCGATCGCTGGATAGGCCGCGGCAGTCTAGTTAGATAGTCCCTCCGGTCCCGGGACCTCACCCCTTTAGACTTCTTTTTGTGGGGATATATGAAAAGTGTTGTGTATTCCACGGAAGTTCATGACATCGACCAACTGCGACATCGTATTGCCGAAGCTTGTAATACTATTCGAGAGAACGTGGCAATGTTGCAACGCGCGCGAGCGAATTGGATACGTCATGCTGAAGCTTGTGTGCAAGCAAATGGTGAGTACATCGAACATCTATGAAAATCAGCAGTTCTCAAAATGGCTCCTTGCAATGTTGAGGTAAGTCAGATTTTAAAATTACATTTTACTCAACACAAATCCGTGTGTTTTACCTCATTTTGACATAACAGACGAAAATGTGGCGAAAATATTTGACATAAGTTCAACACCCAGTATAAAGTAACTAATTGAAGTAAATCAAAATTAAAATATTGTGTTTCTGTGGAAAAGGAAGAGGATGCCTAGAGAAAATATTCACCGTCAAATAATTAATTTTCAGAAATAACTACAAAGGAAAATTTTGGATGTTTCAAAATAAGCGAGATAAACCTGCCTACATTTTAATCAAAAAGACTTACCGATCGTCGAAATTCGATCTCGAATTCTCCTTTGGATAACCCCCATCTTGCCTCTTGGAATAGGACTGGATCTTCTCCTTCAACCGCACTGGGGAAATGGGTGGTTCCGGTCTCCTTCTCTCATTCTCCAACCTCTCCCTCTCCATAAGCAAGAATTTTTCCTTCGCGTCCTTAAATCTGTCTCTCGGCGCCTTAACGTCGTCTTCAGGCGAAGGCGATCGTTGTCGAAACTGGGCGTTCTTTCTATTAATAGTACTTTCTTCATAATACTCCTGCGATCTAACAGATTTGGAGTCTCGTTCCGACCTATCGCGATCTCTATCGCCCCTACTGAATGTTTTCTCGTATTTGTCACCTTGGGAAGACTTAGAAATTGATCTAGGCTTAACTTCCGGTTCAGTGTAGTAGCGAGGGTCATCGGGAATGCATCGGGACTTTGTACTGTTTTCCTTGTAATATTTGCTGTCGTCTTCTCCTGCATATTTTTGCCTAGTTTTTGGGACGGGGTACTCTTTGTGCTGTCTTTGCTTTTCTTCAAAGTAGTCATCTTCGTAGTCGAAACGATGCGATCTTTCTCTGTCGAATTCAGTAGACTTACTTCGATATCTGAAAATATGTAGAAAATATTCAGTGTTATGTAAAAAATTATGAACTGCCAATAAACTTGATCATTTCAAGATAATCTATATACAAGATGCAACAAAAATTATCCAACAAAAATTTTTCGATTATTTTCCTTAATTCCCTTAACGTGTTCCGTTCGAGTTATTTGATTTTTATATCAAATAATACGGTATATGAAAAAAATTGTTGTATTTTTACATCATACAGGGTGTCACCTTAAATGTCAGTCAGTTACTTGCTTGTTAGGGGCTATTTATAGTGCGTTTTCCCCAAAATAATAAAAATTATATATATTGTTTTCATCAAATAAACAATGTGTTTATGTGTCTTCCTTGCTAAATTTCTAAACAATGCATACTGTAGCTCCTGCTTGCGGTTTTTGCGCGCGAGAATGTTTGAGGTTACATTAACCTGTCCAGCGGCGGGGTATGAAAATCGCAAAAAAACGTTTAAAAAATGCACTTTTCATGAAAGAATTCGTGAAAACAAATTTACGATTTGTATTCCAAAAGGTAAAAGGTTCAAAAGGCCTCCGTATAAATATGATTCCCATCCAAAATTACACACTGAATATTTTTTAATTTTCTATTCAACGGAACACATTCCTATTAAAAATGACAAGAATATTTTTTTATTCCAAATAGGATAAGTAATCAAAAATATTTACCTGAATTTTTTAGTTAGGTATGTAGAATTAAATTTATTACAAAAAAATTGTATACAGGGTGTTCGCAAAATGCGTTAGGAAATTTTAAAGAAAGATTCCGCACGGAAAATGATGTTAGTATGTCATTAGACAAAATGTCGAAATTTCCATGGTTAAAATGATACCTATAGAGTTTCAAAGTTATATTTTTAATTATATTTTTTGGTCATATTAAATTTATTCTTCAACCAATCGAATTGATATTCGACACACGAACTAATCTCGATTGACCACAAAATTTTAAGATAAAATTGCTTCTCTTTACTGGAAACCTAAATAATATTTCCATCATAACTTTTTTATTTCGATAGATATAGCAAAATCCAAAGCTTCATTTTGAAGGCAATAAAAAACAAAAAATAAGGTACTCTATACATTTTCTAACTCTTTTTAAACAATAATAACTAAAGCGAAAAATAATGCCAATTTCATTTTTAATATCCTCGCAACAATTTATTATTCTTTGACGCAAATCATTGACATCATTTACCGAACACCAGAGCCCTTAAGTGGCCCCAGAAAAAGAAGTCCATTGGATTAAAATCAGGCGCACGAGATGCCCAAACTATAGATCCATTTCGCTCAATCCACTGGTTAGGAAATGTGTCATTTTCAGTCTGTTCCTTCAAAAGAAACAGGATAATTCATTTCAAGAAAATTTAAATAAACCTCTGCATTTAAATATGCATCAAAGAAATGGGGTCCTATAAGGTAATCCCCAGCGATTCCGCCCCATACATTTAATGAAAACCAGATGCTTTTCTATGATCGAGTGTAGGTTGTCATTAGTCCATTGATGAATATGACGAAAATTTGTAATTTCTTCTCGTATAAATCCTGCTTCGTCAGTGAATAGTATGATTTCAATAAATTGATTGTTTTCTTCATATTTTTGTAAAAGAGCACATAAATTGCACATATCTACTAGTAATTGTGAAAAACCCTCATAAAGTGCTTGAACATTTTTACATGAAAGGGGTACAGTTGCTCTTCACGAACAATTTTCCAAACCGTAGAATCAGCAATACCTTCTCGTAGGCCAATTTCTGTTGTACTTGTACCTGGATTTTCATCTATTCTTTCAAGAATCCTTTCTTCCCTTTCAATAGTTCTAACATGTCTTGGTCTGTTCTATTTCCAATGCCATTTTTAAAGGAACCCTCCTCACCAAGCCGTCCGTAGGTGAATGCTAATAAATTTTCTCTTCCACATTTCCAGTTGCTTGACGTTAACAAAAATGCATTTCGGGATATTCAACATTTGAATACATACACGTTCAATTTAATTCAATTTTTACCTCTTTTTAGGACCGTTCAAAAACTCTATCTCTTCCAACTTGATTATAATACATTTAGGTGTTTAATTTATTATTTGTTTAGTGTGTTTAGTTGTAGTAGAGACGTCAAAATTCGTATAATTCGAAGTCAGTTGACTTGATTTGCTGCGACTTCATTTAAATACATGGATATATTTATACGAGAGTGATGAAAACTTTGATTATATTATTTTTTATGTTTTTTATTGCCTTTAAAATTACACTTTGGGTTTTGCTATCAATATAAAAAAGTTATGATGGAAATATTATTTAGGTTTCAGGTAAAGTGCACTCTAACGGTATTAAAGAGAAGGAATATTATCTTAAAATTTTGTAGTCAGTCGAGATTAGTTTATGTGCCGATCGATTGGTTGAAGAATAAATTTACTATGATTAAGAAATAAATACTAAAATTTATTTTCGAAACCCTGTATAAGATTTCGACATTTTTTCGAATGACATACGAGGCTTATTTTGCCATGCGACGTCTCACCTTAAAATTTCCTAACGCATTTTGCGAACACCCTGTATATATTAGAGAGAATTTACCTTATATTTTCGTCAAATCCGTCGTCCTCAAAGTATTTTACAGGTTTCTCCTTCTCTCCTCTCCTAAACGTAAACTCATCCTTTTCATATTTTCTAGAGTTATTATCAGGATACTTCTCATATCTGTCGTATTTGTCCCTACTTTCCTGATAATAATATTTCTCAGATTCCGAATCGTGATATCTATCGCTCCTCTCTAACGTCTTAGAGAATCTGTCCCTTTCCAAATGATCGAAACTTTTCTGTCTTTCGAAATTCTTGTCTTTAACGGACTGCTTCTCCCTCTCCAAACTCTTTTGGCGGTCTAAGTATTTGTTTTCAGAGTATTTCGCAATCGGTTTCTCCAAATACTTGTTGGTTTCGTCCCTCTTGGATTTAGTCTGCCTGTAATCGTCCTCGTACTTGGGCTGGGGCTCTGCGTACCTGGAGAATCTCTGCACCTGCTCTGGTGACTTGTCTCTATGGGGACGAGGTAGGGTCATCTGAGTTGGCTGGTGCATGAGGTACAGCGTGGATTCGGCTGGGTCGCCATTCCAGTCCTCATCTGTAAAAAATAAAAAATTTTAATAAATATAGGCACTATTTTTTATACACTATGATATTAGTATGGATCCCATTTTTTCTATATTATTAAATAAATCTTTTCATTTCTGTATTCATAAATCTTTATACATAATAATACAGCAATACCAACATATTCACTGATCTTTCTAACTATAAGTTGTAAATGAAGCCTATTATTTGTGCGCAAAGGGGCAGTATATATCATTATTTGTAGTACACAAGTTACACCCTCAAAACGCTGTGGGTGGTCTCTAATTTTGTAAGTAATACAACAATGATAACAAATAGCGTTACACCTACAAATCTAAACTGCAATTAACATACCTAGATAATTAATAAGTAATTATCTGTTGTGAGTATTAGACAACACATGGTTTCCCTATAATTTTGCTACGTAAAGGAGACTTAATAACAGAACTTCGACGCACGTACAAATCTATGATCCAACTGGTTTTCTAATCATATTATTTATTTTGTTGCTTCAGCTAATAAGCAGCTGTAGGTCGTAAATTTCGAAACCGATCCTTAAAATGAAAAAACGTAGACAAGAATTCCGTGTTACATAACGCCTAGCGGTGTTTCAAAACATATTCTTCATATTCATAAGACAAGGTGTTTTTTGTCAATTTTGGTTGTTATTTACATCATTTTAGATCACAAAGCCTTAAATAAACTAAGAGTCCTAATTTTCGAGATACAATGAGTTGAAATTTAAAAATATCACATTTAGTCTCTGAAAATGCTTGACGAGGATTTTGAACAGATTTCAGTATGTTGTCTATAATAACATACAAGTGAAATGCCTTGAAAGTAAGATGTTGTATACCGCAAGGTTCAGTCTTGGGTTCTTTACTTTTTTTAAATTATGTTAATGACCTACTTAACACAGACGACACCAATCTTACTACAGCTTATTGAAATTTATCTGTTTTATTTGATGGCATACCTTTGTTGCAACCATTAGCAAACAACTGGTTTGTCAGTAATAAAATGTCCAAGACTGGAACGATGATCTTCGGCCTTAACTCAGTACTAACTCTTGCATCAAGATATCCGAGGAACTATCTAAACCATAAAAAATTCATGGGATACCACAAAAAATACTAAACTTTGTATGAACTATAGCTAGTCAGATGACGCTCAATACCTAAAAATGCCCATATTTGTGAAACGACATGTGGTTTCAACAAGAGGTGCCACATGCCGAGAAACAATTCAATTAATGCATAAGTCATTTCCTGATCGTGTAATCCCCAGTTTTGGTGATCAGAATTGACCTCCCAGATCACGCGCCTTAACTCCGTTGGACTTTTTTCTTTGGGGCTTCACCAAGATCAGCCTTGAAATACTTTATCATTCAATCTTTAGCATCGAAGAATTCTTTCATTAGCAATTATTTTATCTTTAAATTTAAAAGTATTATTTCTAGAAAATTTTCAACCTAGAAAAGTTGTTAATTATAAAAAAATTGAAAAAATTAATTCTATCAACTGAATGATATTCATTCTTCAATTACAAATAATACATTTTCAGGTAATATTTTAAATATAAATTTTAATTTTTAGCAAAGAGTTTTGAGGGTTTTTATATCTTCTTCCCACCGGGAACTGTGTCGATCGATATCTAGGAAAGTACTGCTACGAAAATTTGAAAATTTGGCAACATAGCAATGTCCCTGGGGCGAACACAACTAAAATATATAAAACTCTAGAACTTCCGGTTATACCAGAAGTCGACACCAACTTCGTTATTTTAATTAGAACACCCTATATATTATTACATTTTCCGATTCTACGTGAAATTTGAAGGTCACTTAAACTTAAATATTCCCTATTCCTCCAATAATTTCGTGACAAAAAATTATCCCAATGCTCATCATAAGGCTTTATCCGATAAATTTCCACTAAATCTTCAGTAAATTCACTATTCAAGAAATTTCAATACCTATATCCTGGGTACAGCTCAATACGTCCTAGAAATTCTCAAGAAATCCCTGTACATCCTTAAGAAATCCTAGGACCTACATCCTCATAGGTCCTCATGTGTTCTCCACTCGGTTTTAACATGCATAATGAACATGGTGATTAGCGCAGCTAAATGACTAAAACCACTTTCATGGTGATTTCAATATATTTTTTACGCTAGTTTGACTTTTAAAGGTAATATCATTTGTAAGAAGACATGGAAAAACTTTTTCAGAAGATATGAAATGATGTCGAACCAATGGCATAGGCGGGGGCTTTGGAGGTTTTAGCCCCCCTAACAACTCCAGTATTCGTAACTGTTTTGCTGCAAATTTAAAAAAAAAATTTTAGCCCCCCCCCCAACTTTGCATTTTGGTTATGCCACTGTGTCGAACTGAAGAGAAATAACCCTTATACATATGACAATATTAAATAAATTCCAAAGAAAACAATTTTTAGCCCTTCTATATGTGATTATATTTTCAAGTATCTAAGGGCCTTGGATTTTGCTGTGCAAAATTTTGAAAATTTGCAATTTTTTTTTTCAAAATCTGGATTGCAAAATTATTATTCAAAATCTGTCGAACCGATTTTGATGAAATTTGGTGTGATGATTCTACATAACATGAAGTTTTCTTGAGCCAAGTATGAAGGTCCTATACCCAATTTAAAGACTCCAAAAAAAAAAATCCCTAAATAGTAATTTTTTTAACCCCATTTTTGGCGATTTTTTCGATTTTAAAAATAATAATCATGATTCATTCGATTTATAACTAGTCATATTTTGTAAAAAATTTTATTACAAACATTTTTTTCCTCTTCCATTTTCGCCTAAAATCAACTCTTGAAAAGGTATATAATTAACTAAGAAGAAAATTATGACATTTTTCGAATTTTTTTAACATATTGTGCAGCCAAAAGTTAAGCCCACGTTTTTTTTTATGCGCATAGAAAAACTTTCATTTCTAGTGATATTTGAAAGCCAAAAAGACAAAAATCTCCATGGATGTACGATTCACCCAAACCAAAACAGATACCGCCTAGTCTATAATCTTGACGACCCACGGTGCGTCTTGAGAATATCAAACTTTCTCTACAATCATTTCATATTGGACGCATCTCTTTTTTTCAAGAAAGTACAACGGTACTATTTTTCATTAATTAATTTGGGTATTTACACTTTCACCTGTATCCTAGATACAGATAAAAAAAATAGTTGATGCATTTAAATCATAAAAAAAGGAAATTATAATTGTAACCTGTCTTGGATCGGTTCATATGAACGAAACAATTCGATTTCTGAGAATAAAACAAAATGTAATAAACACAGTTGTACCCACAGCGTTATGTGGGTGGTTGCTTTTCTAACATTAGCTGCACAATAAAACCAGAAACACATTTTTGCGGTCTGTAATTCGACGCTGCTCGACCACATGTAATATTATTGAATTATCGCGGTTGCTCTTAGACGACGTTTTCCCTCCACACTATTTTTATTTCGAGTTATTGAACTTTGCGTTACGTTCCATTGGATAAAAGACCGTACGACGACGTTTTATGACAGCGCGAAGTTTTTATGTTTTATTAGTGACATTTCGCTGTAACGATTACCTTAGCTGTTTCACTTCAGGCTCTTGGTAAATTGTTCATTACTTTCTTCTTTTGTTAGCCGTTGCCTGTAAGTGTTCGTAGTAAGCTGGGGTTATTGGTTAAGGATATGTTTGGACATCGAGACGATGTCGAGATCTCCAAAATGAGTGCAGTGCTTGTGACGTTTTTTGCATGTTCAAATATTGAATAGATTTAATTAAAACTAAATAATTTTATACAGTGTGTCCCAGAAGTAACGCAAAAAAATCGTATTTTATTTTATGTTGCGTTTTCACAAAACGCTAAAACACGTCAATTAGTAAATAAGAATTGTCATTTTGTCACGTTGCTTAAACCTTTTTTGCGCTATGTTTCATAAACCTATAACGTCATCGACATTTTTTTTAAATAGCACTACCTAATTTTTTAAGCATAAATGGATAGTCTTTTTGAAGGGAAATACGTCGATATAGGGTTTGGCCTATTTTACTTTGACAGGAGCGAAAAAAAGCCAATGACTGGAATGGACATGGTTTAAAATAACAACAAAAGTAGGTATCATAAACTGATGCGAGAACAGTGCCACAGTAAAAAATGGACATTTGGGGATGTTTTGTGTTTTGGTTGATTCTAGGTACGTTTTTATGTATTAATATGTTGGCGTTTTCGGCAATACGACGAAAGCAGTGTGTGGATTTTCAGTGACAGCTAAACATAACATTTTGCCTATCATTTTCTATCATTGTCGTTGGCCTTCTAGATCTAGACAGATTTCAAACATGTCCAGCGTCTTCAAATTTGGGTACTAATCTGCATACTGTAGACGGAGGTATTGGTTGTTCTGGATACTTGGCATTGAATAATTGACATACTTCATTATAACTACGGATCCTATCTCCGTACCCAACCATAATTAGGATTTCAGTTCTTTGTTTCTCATTTAAACACAACACCATCGTAATATAAAGTTATGGTATTTGTAACTGTCACAATGATATGAAGCACTATTGCATTCGCTAACTGTCGCCTTCAGAACAATGCCTACGTAGCCCCTGTGATCGGGTGTACCTACCCAATCTACATAAAAACATGTGCCTACAATCAATCAAAACACATTTTCTGCTATAGCACTGTTCGCGCATAAGTTTGTGATACCTACTTTTGTTATTAATTCAAACCATGTTCATTCCAATCGCACCTGTCAAACTAAAGTAGGCCAAACCCTATATCGACGCAATTCCCTTCAAAAGGGCTATCCATTTATGCTTAAAAAATTATGTAGTGCTATTTAAAATAAAATGTCAATGACGTCACAGGTTTATGAAACATAGCGCAAAAAGGTTTAACGACGTGACAAAGCGACAATTCCTATTTACTAATTGACGAGTTTTAGCGTTTTTGTGAAAACTCAACACAAAATAAAATA